TTTCCAATGTTTTGTACAATGCTACAAAATATGAGATAACAGAACAGATGAACAACTGTAAGGGAACAGTTGTTTCAAGATTTCACACAAGTCTCCATTTTTCTCCATAGATTCTCAAGCCTGAGGCAAATTCTGTTTAAATTCTTTCTTTTTTTATTATACTTAGCTTTCTTGTTCAATATGTGTATGCAACCAATAATTCTACATATAGAATTCATCAGGTTCTACACTGTGTCTATACTCATAAGAATATATATATTACTGTAAACTGGAATTAGCCATCTTGGATTGAAAACAGCATCTCTAGGAGTTCGCCTTTCACTCTCCCAAGTCAGCCCTCTTCGTGGGCCTAAATCACGACTACACGATACTTTTTTGATCTTTGCCACATCATACATGGAGTTCAGAGGATGAGCACCAAAAAAATCCCAGCACCAGTAACATGGAACAATTTCCCCCTTAAAATGACAGGTCTTCTTAGTCTTTCAACAGCCATGAAAACCTAGCTTTTCTCAGAAGCTCTGAGATAGTCTAAAGTTGGAGCCCAGAAAGATTTTTTTATGGATATGTGGAGACGTACAGTATAACAGGCCCAGAAACATTGGGATTTTACTATGTTGGATATTATTTTTATTGTTGTTTGTATAACCCAGTGTCATGTTAAATAAAAAGGATTATTTTTTAAATAAACATTTATCAAGAGTAGGAAAATTATAGTAAGCACAGCTTATGCAACACCACATATGGTAAAATGACTAGTAGAACCTACTGGAGCAATAGTTAAATTCCATATATTAGAATTACCATCAAAGCAAGGATATAACGAGGCTAATTATATGTGACAATTTATTAACTCATCCATTCATGCTAAAGACTATGAAACTTATTATGAAATGTTAGATTAATGAGACAAATTCGAATTCATGCCACATATTTCCTGAAAAAGAACTATGCTTCATATATTTGAACCACTGTGAAAATAATATTATTAAATTTATTTGGCGCTATCTCACAGTTCGAGGTGACTCTGAACAGCTTAGAGTGGGATAAAATATACAAATATCCAAACAGTTATAAATATAAAAACAGATTAAAATTACAAAAAATAAACTTAAAAAATGGGTTTGAAATGGAGATGTGGGGGTGCTCTCTCTGTTAGTGTACCAATCATCTCCAGCCAACAGCTTTTCCTTCAAGACCCCATGCCAGCTTTTCCTGAAGACTAAAATAGAGGGTATGGTACGAAAATGAAAAGAAGGCAAACCATATAATTCTAACTTTTGCTATTTTTACTATTTCACCCAATGTATTTTAGATAAACTTTATCAATATTATTTCTAACGATATTTTTTAAAAATCCTTTCTTTCAAAATGCAAAATGCCAGGAATTTATGTTTACCTGTTTTTAAAGGCTTCACAAAAGTCAGCTGAGACTGTGCAACAGGAACAATATTTTTTGTTCTTTTAAAATTCTTAGATTTTTGAGATGCAGAACCTGAAAAAAATAAAAAATCCAATCATCCAAAATGTGAAATTGAAGCAAGAGTAAAAATTTATATAAGCAAACTGTTCTATCACTTTGCAATCACAAAGGTTAATATGAGAACAAAAGATTGGTTCACTCTGAGCTGCATACAATATTATTTTTCTAACAGAATACCGATTCAAAATTAAAATTACATTACCATTTCTCGTCTTTTGCTTATCTCCATTCCGAGATTTGGAAACTGAGAATTTCAAATCGCTCTTGCTTCCATTTCCGTCACAGGACTTCAGAGTTCTTTTTCTTCCTAAATTTTCTGCATATTCTTCTCTTTCATTCTTAACGTCCTCTAAATATTCTCCACTTTTTCTTTTACGATTATTAGAAGATGATTCCAAATAAATGAAATTGGCTCTATCTTTGATACGTTTAGCTTCATCTGAAACACTTTCAATAACTGGAAGTCTTGGCAATCTGTCCAGGGATTTTGCATCTCTAGGGATAATGTCCATACAATGCTCTATTGCATTAGAAAGATTTTTTTTAGATTTTAGTTTTAACATCTTTGTTTCTTTTCCCTCAGGATTGGGTTTAGTTTTGATAACAGTGCTAGAAAGCAAAGGCCTTTTTTTGTTCTGAAGGCAGCAAGCTTGATTACTTGTTTTGGATCTGACATTTTGTTCAATCTTATAAGAACAAGTCGTAGGATTTCTTTCATTTGTGTCTTTGGGAGCTTTGGTGGAAAGCTGAGGTTCCATAAAAAATGAAACAACTTGTATCTTTTCTTTCTGTTTTGAAAATTTTGCTGTTGATATACATGATTTCACATCTGAAGTAAAGGACACTGGTTTGCATTCTGGGTTTGGCTGAGTAACTATTTGATTCTCTCTTAAAAACTGATTAGGTGAAAGAATAGGCATTGCTGTAGCTGCATCAAGTTCTTCCGTAACTTCATAACTATTGTTTATAAAAGAATCAGGACTTAAAATCTTCCTACAATTCAAAGATATATTCAATTGTTCTGGTGCACAGACAGAATTTATTTCTGCTGAGTTAATAACATTATCTTGGTGTACTTTCTTTTTTGCCAAAACATTGTCATATAGAGTTGTAACAGTAGGGGTTTCTGTTATGTTGTTTAATGGCTTATGACATGCTGGTGCTTCTGGAACAGAATACGTAGTTGATAGGGGAGTATAAATGATATATTGGTTTTTCTGATTGATGGGATTAATAGGGGAAATAGAAAGCTTATGTTCTGAAATGACTAAGGAATTTCCATTAGGTGAAATTCTGTTTGAGCTCACTTCCAGATTCTCACAGGACTGAAGAGGGCTTCTATTTTCCTCTGTTTGTTCAGACATCTGAAAAGTTTTATTAATACTTTTAATGACTGGCACTCTTTTTCGTGATTGTTGTGCAGGAATTCTTCTTTTAATAGTATCCCACAGATTTTTCTGAAATGACATTAAATATATATATATAGGCAAGTATTATATTTTTGGTCATTTTCCTTATTTTCCCTATGAAATTAAAAGCTCATACTGCCTATGACATATTTATAAGTAAATACAAAGGAACACTGATTCTCATTTTTCAAATTGGCATCAGTATTGCAGTATTTTACCTCTACTATTTGTGTATCTCTTTGGCATATTTATTTACAATACCTATTTTTCATTTTGTAAAATCCAATGTTGGGGGAAATTCAAGATACCAAGGGAGATATACTAAAAATTTCAAAGGCGGCACGGGAATACAGATATAAGTGCTATGAAGACTTTAAATAATTATAAAGGTCATAGGCCTATTATATTTCTGCATCTTTAATTACACTGATATGTGGTTTTGCACTTTCAAACATGCCAATAATTTATGCAGGAAAGCTTATTACATAGATAGATATTCTGCATTAATAAAGACTGACTTTATTAATAAGCAGAACAAGAAAGATTTTAAAGAGCTTCCTACCTTCTTCGTTATAGGCTGCTCAGCATTTCCCAGCAAAACTGCTCGATGTTTTACAACATCATTTATAATGAAAGTTATGAGCTCTCGAACTTTGCCGCCTTCTAGTGGTGTCCATGTTATTAATATATAGATCCTCTCTCCAGGCTGCAAAAAAAAAAAAATGAAACAGGAAGATGGCATAGTAACAAATACATGAAGAATATATCCAGTTAAAAATCTTCTATGAACCTAGCTTCTTTGAAGGCCACACTTGGAATACTGCATCCAGTTTTGGTCACCAGGATGTAAAAAAGATGTTGAGACTCTAGAAAGAGTACAGAGAAGAGCAACAAAGATGATTAGGGGACTGGAGGCTAAAACATATAAAGAACGGTTGCTGGAATTGGGTATGTCTAGTTTAACAAAGAGAAGGACGAGGGGGGACATGATAGCAGTGTTCCAATATCTCAGGGGCTGCCACAAAGAAGAGGGAGTCAAGCTATTTTCCAAAGCAACTGAAGGCAGGACAAGGAGCAACGGGTGGAAGCTAACCAAAGGGAGAAGCAACCTAGAACTAAGGAGAAACTTCCTGACGGTTAGAACAATTAACCAGTGGAACAACCTGCCTCCAGAAGCGGTGAATGCGCCAACACTGGAAGTTTTAAAGAAGAGACTGGACAGCCATTTGTCCGAAATGGTGTAGGGTTTCCTGCCTGAGCAGGGGGTTGGACTAGATGACCTCCAAAGTCCCTTCTAACCTTATTATTATTATTATTATTATTATTATTATTATTATTATTATTATTATTATTATTATTATTATTATTATTATTATTTCATTCTCCAGGAAAGTAGGGATCACTAGTAGTAGATCAAATTTTGCTTTTTTTACAATCTCCATATTTGCTTTGAAACTTAGGAGCTTTCAATAGCAGAACTGTGGTTTCCATAGTGTAGCCCAAAATATAAAGTCAAATTATAGCTATTTAAAATATAACTCTTTAAAACGTATGAGAATAAAATCATGCTTATATATTTTGTGAGTATGGCATAATGTTTACCTATAGGCAGCAACAAAATGTCACAATAGATATTTTATTTCTGAAATTTATATGCCACTCAATTCCAAAAATAAAAAAAACTTCTGAAACAAGATTCTGACAACTTTGTCACATTTAATATTTTCATAATACCAGGTACCCATATAAATTCAGACCAAGACTGTGCTCTATAAACAATATTTGTAACAACATTACAGTTCACAAAAAACCCTACTTAAAAAACACTTACCGTAACTCTTAACAACATATATAAGCCTCCAAAGTTCAAATAACCTACCAGCCAATAACACATGCATTAGTGAAGAGGGTGATAGCAGTTTAAAAAGCCCGTGATCTGCTCCCTCCACCCCACCTTTTAACAGTCTTCTTCTCTGGAATGTGTCCTTAAAGTCAATTGAATCCTGATAGGCAGAGCAAATTGGACAAAATAAAAAGAGACTTCCTTTTCAGCCAGCTTCTGCTGAATTCTAGGCACAAAGACAACTTGAAGCAATCACTCTCATTCAGTCTAGGAAAAAGGCAATGGTAAACTTCCAAAATCTTGCCAAGAAAACTATATGCATTGTAGTCCAAATAGTGGCCAGGAGTCAATATTAATTTGAAGGCACTCCCTCCACCAAATTGAATAGCACGTATGAATTGACACTACACAAATAGACAAGGGTTTTTTATATATATTATCATGTTCATGTTAGCCTTTAGTCTGTGGAAAGTATTTTATTTTAATAATCAATAATAATCATAGAATATTCTTTACACCAAATTTCTCTCACTGTCCCAGCTGCCTCTTAGTCATCAACACAATCCATGATTCACTGAGACTGAAAACTATGGGAAATACATTGTAGCAATAGATTGGTAAATTGCACCTCTGCTGTCAACTGACAATAGCAAAACCAAGCACCTGGACAAGAGTAATTCACCAAAGAACCTAGTCACATTTCCCCATACCCACAAATAGGCTGTCCAGACACAACAAAAGGCAAGCCACCAGGGAGGACAATTAAGGCTGACATTTTGATAGAGTCAAGCACTGCAAGACAGCCAGCACATAGACACCATCGCCCCCTACCAAGGACCAGTCCCCCTATAAAACAAAGAACCCATTTTCTCTGGAGCCTACCCTCAAGAGCAAGCCTCTTAACTTTGGGGAATAAATGGATCACCTCCTTTCCACCAGCAGCTTACCTTGCCTCTTATTTTTATCCCGGCTTGGAAAAGGGAGCTGGGAAATTCTTTTAGCAACTCCTAATATAAGAAGTGTTCATTACGTTTATATCCTACCAGAAAATAATCCTCGTAGATAGAAAGAGCCTCGTTTGGGGAGACTATACATTTATTAACTATTAACATACCCCAAAGTTCCCACTTGCCTAGAAACAGTAAACAAGAAGTTAACTTACAACATCCTTTAAAAATAAGTAGGATTTTTGGGACAGCATCAGCAGACGTTATCCATAAATTGATTATTCCATAACGTCCCTGATCAATTGAAATTCAGGAAGTAAAGCCTATAAATACCGGCGGAGTGTATTGCTACGTTTACCATTGCCATTTAACCGTTTCTTCATACCGGCCAATCTTTCAGACTACCGATGCTACATGAACATTAACATCCCTCCGCGTCCGGCTTAGACCTCAGCGCTAGCATTTGATGTTGCCGGCCACCTTAGAGCCGCCCCTCCCAGACCAACATCGCCTCGCTTCCCCTGCTAAAGCACCTGAAGGAGGAAACTGTCCTGCTCCACCGAGAAGCCTTTGGAGGCGGGCGGCGGGCGGTCGACGGCCCCGTGGACAGGCTCCGCATTGGGATTCTCTACGGCCAGACGGCGAACGCAGGAAGTACCGACGCGGACCGAGCCGAAACTGAGGAAGGGCGGCCGGGAGAAGTGGCTGAGTGACAACACGGCGTCGTTTCCATCCTCGCAGCCTGGTGAAGCAGCCCAGCGACTGCTCCGCTCCGGTTCCTGAAGCCCGGCTGGCCCCATGCCCTGCCTTCTTTCCGCCATAGCGGCTTACGGGAAAACGATCTTCATCTATATCTCTCCTGTTGACACCAGAAACGCCTTCGCCCACCCGCGAGCAATACAAAAATTCCTTCCAAAAATCGGACTCGTAACCGCCGCTCGAGAATTCAAAACTCGCAGCCTCCACCAATCAAAGGGGGTTTACAGAACGCAGCCAGTTCGCGCATACGATTTTTTCCTCCAATCGCCAAGAGGCTCTGAACAAAGATTCGACCAATCGCTTGAGCTGCTTGGTTTTTTGTTTTGTTTTTTTGTTTAATCCTGATTTCGACGCTATCTCCCCGACCAATGCCGTGAACTCTTCAGGTTGCGCACCAATAACAAAGCGAGCGCTCAATTTAAAACCGCCTCTTGAGAACATGAATTGTCTTCTTTCGGTTGTTTATTCCGCTCAAGTCCGCCTCCTACTCCGCCAGAGATTCGGTTCGGTGCTCCGCTGCAGCACAATCGCGAAATTAAGTTCGGAAAGGTTTTTCTCTAGTCTGTAAATTGCCAGCGAAGAGCCACCAATGGCATCTGGGAAAGATCTTTTCTTGAAAGCCTCCCAAAATTTTAGTTATGTTAGTAAATAAATAACCTTGGAAATTTTCGTGATAATTTGGAATCAGTGCTCAGATCTGTTTGGTCCCTCCCTTTTTTAAACTGTTGGTTCTCTTTGAAAAGTTTATCAAAAAAAGTTTATTATTGTATGTTAGAGTTAAAGAATGTTAATTTTGTTTGTATTATGAATGGATAGCTTAATTTAGATTTGGGATGTTATGTATTTATCCCTGTACTCAGTTCTGGGAAGTCCGGGGGGGGGGAAGGAGGAAGGGGATGAAGGGGTAGAATTATAAAAAAAAATGGTGTATTTATAAATGTAATGTAAATGTTTGTCTTTAAGAAGAGATGATCGGCTAGTACCCCTAAACTGCATCCGAGGTGGTGTAAAAGAAGGTGATGGGATGTGTAGGATAGTTGGGAAGGAGGAAAAAGGAGAGGTAGTGGTTAAGAGGGGGAGGAAGGAAGAGGGAAGTAGGTAGGAAGGTGGAGGGAGTGTGGATGCAGGGGGGGGGACCGCCGACTATTTCTGAATACCTAATGAGTAGGCTTTTTATGTGTTTGTTTTTCTAATGAAATGCACCATATTTGTATTATTTGCTCATATGTTTATTTGAAAAAATTAATAAAATTTTTTAAAAAAAGTTTATTTCTGGGACTATATAATAGAAACCATTACTTATCTTGTCAAAATAACCATAAGGCCAATTTACTGTAATTTAACAGAAAAGATGCCAGTAACTCGTTGTTAGCATAAATCAGGGGTCGCCGGACCGTTCGGAACCGGGCCGCGCAAGGGGCGGGTAGCGCGTTCGGGCGCGCAGCTCCATTTGCGTACTTTGAGCTCCGCGCAGTCGCCCGCTGTCTGCGTGAAAACATCCACCCGCCCACCCCCACTGCTCTCGCCGTTCCGCAAAGTCGGAAAGATTGGACACTGCTGTACTGTAGTAGTACACGGTGCTGGGATGGCTCGCGGTTTTGCAATGAACATCCCGCAAATGCCCATTGTGAGCCGGAGGTAAAGCGAAAGCCCTCCCCGCCTAGTCGGCACCCCTCGCTTTTCCTCTTGCTCCGCCTCCTTTTTGCCACCCACGTGCATAGAGCCGGAACGACAAACCTTGCCCAGCTTCCTGTCAAACTAGGTCTGAGTGACGTTAGCCTTTATTTCCCCCCCCCCCGCATGGAACCCGGAAGTGATGGCGAAACCTGGGGGGGCTAACGGGGCGCGACTGAGGGGGCTTATATGAGGGGGGGGTTGTATTTTTCTTTCTTTTTGGGGGGCAGATGTCTTTCGGAATGGGGAGGCCGGCCTGGTGACGGCGACGGCAAATGGGGAAGAGGCGTGTTTTCCCGAGAGCGCGCGCCTGGGACCGTTATTTGCCCCTTTGGTCGGATAGGGGAGGACGGTAGGTAAGAGGCTCCTCCCCTCGTTGGAGGCTGGGGAGGGGAGGTTTAGGGGGTTTCCGATGGGCGCAGTTGTACTTTCGCCATCCCGGTCGGGGTGAAGAGGGGCACGACAGTTCGACCTGCCTGAGGCTTCGGCTTTCGTTTGCTTGCCGCTTCTGACATGTTAGATCTTGTTTAGATCTAGTGGGATCATCCCTGAAAGGCCAGATCATTGTTAAAGGGGGGCGGGGAAGAAGGCACTGTCACTACCTCGTTAAGAAAGGAAAAGTACCTGGCCGTCAGTAGCAATTTCTTCTGCCGCCCACCCCGAGGCAGAGGCCGGGGAAGCAGCGATGGAGAAGGTTCCCCCTTGTAGAAGTCCCCTGAAGCCCGTTCCCCCCACTTCCATCTCAGTCCCGTTTGCATCGGTAGGCAGGCTAACAAAATGCGGCAGGCTCCTGCCGCCACCTCCTTGCTCAATCTCTTACTAGCACAATGGAAGGAAGGATTAGGCCCAGAAGGGATGAAACTTAAACAGTCCCGCTTGCCTTTTTTTCTGTCGAGGGTGCTTCGTAAAGGACTGTAATGAAAGTTGCTTCCTCTCTGATCTGCTTCTTGCTCTAATGTGACAATTGGGCTGGTGGTTATGTCCATCACCCACAAAGGAGCAGCTACTTGCAGATAATGCAGAGTTTGCTTGGTTTAGGCCGCTTAATAGGGTTGCCAGGTCTGCTTCCAAAAAATAGCGGACAAGCGGGGAGGGGGGTTAAGTAGTAAAAAAAGTAGACTGTACAGCTTTAGATTACGTACCATTTCATCATAAAGCTTTTGAATAAAAAAAATGTCCACTATTTTGTGAAAAAAAATAGTGAACATAATGTGAAAAAAGTGGACTGTCCACTCAAATAGTGGACACCTGGCAACCCTACCGCTTAACCCATTTCTCTTGCTCATTTAAGCACAGGAGGGAAGGTAGCACCGATAATATGTAGGCTGAGGATGCTGCTGGACATGTTCCAGTTCCTTTATGTGGCTAAGGTCATGGCTCCTAAATCATGCAAACAGATAAAATGTGTTAGCAGATAAAACACGGAAGAAGGGGGAAAAAGAGCAGTTCTGTGAGGGGCATTCATTGCCTGCTAATAATAACAGTTGAGCAGTCTTGGTAACAGGCTATCTGGGTGCTATTCTCCCAGATCAATAGGATTTAAGCAAAAGAGGGAGGTGGCTAATATACTTCCTGTCTTTTTGATTGGATAGATTTAAATCACAGAAGCAAGGAAAGCAACCACATTCCCCCAACTATTTACCTGTTTTCACCAGCTGTATAGCATCTAAACCTGGTTGTGGAAAGAGCAGATTTATCATTTCACTTGCTATCTTGAGTTTGCTCTTGACAGCATCCAGTGAACCAGATCTTTCCTGTTGTACCACACAGAGAAACAACCTGAATGGAGGAGATAACAATTGCAGCTTGGAAAAAGAAACAGCTGTTTTGATACACAGAGCTTTCCTTATAAGGAAAGACTAATCAAATGTTGGTTCACATGACACACTAAATTATAACTTAGTTTCTTTGGTCCTGGCTTCTAGGTTGTGCGAATGCAGCCCTTGTTTGTAAATCCTAGTTATTACTTTGATATTATTATTATTATTATTATTATTATTATTATTATTATTATTATTATTATTATTTGCTATCAAATCATTGCACTCTTAACAAACACAGATTTTATCCATGATCTGTTCCTAACAAGTGTTTCAGGTTTTCCAAGTGTGCACTCATTGCCATTTCAACTGAGTTCATCCATGTTGCTGTTGATTATCTTCTTTTTCTCTTTCCTTCCATCTTTCCCAGCATTAGAGTCTTCTCCAGAGAGCTAGATCTTCATGTAATGTGTACAAACTAGAATAATTTGACCCTGGTCATTTGTCCCTCAAGGGAGAAGTCTGGGTTGATTTGTTTGATGAGCCATGTGTAAATCCACTAATTGTTATTTAATATACTATATTAAGCCATAGTTTAGCAAGATATGTGATACTATTCACACTTACTGCTTATTAGCTCTCTTACTTTCTATCTTGGTAGGAAATCCATGCATTTTATAGGCTTGCATATGTTAATTTTTAAGTACAAGAAAAAGGATTAGAGTTAAGTCATATACTAATTTGTATCTGTCTTGAGCAATTATAACTACTCAAAGAGATCAGTGAGTGACTGCATTACAGATGAGTGCTTTTTAAGTGATCGTTTATACTACAGTTGATAAATAAAAATATTTTTGTGCATTCAAGCCCTGATCATTTCATGCATAGACTATTGCAATGCTCTCCACATGGGGCTACCCTTGAAGAATATTTGGAAGCTACAAGTAGTGCAGGATGCAGTACTTCGGGCAGTTCTTGGGACCCCTAAGATGGCTCATGTTACACTGCTGTTCCAGTGTAACATTGGCTGCCGGCTTGCTTCCAGGTCAATTTAACATGTTGGTTATCATCTTTAAAGCTCTTAATGGCTAGGCCCAAGTTATCTAAAGCAGTGTTTCTCAACCTTGACAATTTTAAGGCATGTGGACTTCAACTCCCAGAATTCCACAGCCAGCAATGCTGGCTGTGGAATTCTGGGAGTTGAAGTCCACATGCCTTAAAATTGTCAAGGTTGAGAAACACTGATCTAAAGAACCATCTTACCCAATGGGATTGGCTTGCCCCACCCATACCAATAGAGCAGGCAGGCTGTGGACCCCACTAGTCAAGGATTTTCAGCTGATGAGGTGTAGTAGAAGAGCCTTTCTGCTGTGGCTCCTGCCCTTTGGAACATCATACACCCCAAGGTGTGATCTGCACTCATCCTTTTGATCTTCCATAAGAGCCTGAAAAACTGGTTCTGCCAGTTGACCTGGTGCCTAGCTATTTTTCCTATTGCTTCTGCTGACAAGTAAAGAAATAGGTACTATTCACAATTTGATAATCTGAGTGTGACTTGTAGAATATTTTGGTATCAATTCAAAATGAAATTTTCCTTTCTAGAAAGAGAGGGTGGATGCCAATTCTTA